AATATTAACCGATCTTTACCAGAAACAATAGGGGTCTTCATTGGCCACAACCCATCCAACATGCAAAATTTCGTGAAGATTGGTCCATAACTGTGGCCTGTATCGTGTTTACAAATTATAATGGACAGACGGACGGACGGACACACATGTCTAGATCGACTCAGCTAGTCGAGATATATCGGTATACTTAAAGGTGGGTCTAGGACCAATATTTCGCGGCGTTACAAACTCTTGGGGCTGCACAAAGCTATAATACCCTGACAACATAGTTGTGTAGGGTATAATATGAGTTTTCGGCCTACATCATCCCAAAATTATTATGTGATCATCACCGAAAAATAAAGGCGTTGTCCTTGACCAACTTTAGTACCTCTTGGAACATTTCAAAGCGATCTGCGCTATATTTTCGACCTCTAGTGTGGTAATGGTTTATTAAATAACATTTGAATACTTAAACACCTATAAATGTTTACGTGTAACTCCCACATCCTAGTATATACCACAATATAATTCGTATACATTTAAAGGTCAACCACTCCTCTTGAATATACTATCAACTTCTCGGGCCTATATCCTTCAGGAGTAAACATATACTCCATAGAATACAAATGTTGTCATTTTTCACACAAAAGTCAGAGTCCATTTGATCCGCTAAATATTGACCGATCTATATCAAAACAGGCATGTTTATTCTTTGGCCCAATCCCCTTCTCCATGTAAAAATTCGCGATGTTTGGGGCAAAATTGCGACCAGAAAAAAAACTACAAAAATTAAGTATTTGGTCCATGTCATCCCCTAAACATGAACCGATCATTACCAAAAACAATAGGGCAGAACACATCCTACGTGCAAAATTTCGTGAAGATTGGTTCATAACTGTGTACTGAATCGGGTTTACAAATTATAATGGACAGACGAACTAGACACACATGTCTAGTTCGACTCAGCTAGTCGAGATATAACGATCGGCATACTTAATGGTGGGTCTAGGACCAATATTTCGCGGCGTTACAAACTCTTGGGGCTGCACAAAGCTATAATACCCAGACAACATTGTTGTGTAGGGTATAAAAATTTACTCATTGAGGATGTTCGAAAAAATATTGTTTGTAAAATGTATGCTCTGGTATTCCTTTAAAATTTTCCCTGCAAAAAATTAACTTTTTACGTTTTGAAGATCCTTGAAAAAGTTCTAGCTTGCAAAGCCAGTTGTAAACTTTTCTACTCTCTTTTGAACAGGCATTTGGCAATTTTATATAGTTCCTGCGGAATTTTGTACTCAGGAATTAATGTCTTCGTTGTAGCCCTTAAGTAATTTTCTAATGAAATATGAAATCATAAAGCTCGAATAAAATAAATATTTCACACTCCAAACCTTATTAATATCCTCACAATTTCACAGTTAGTTAATCTATGCACATTAATATATCTTATCAAAAGGTCCTTCTTTTGTCAATATGTGTGCATGAATATTACAACGTGTTTAAGATTTTCTTATAAATATAGGGTTTTTTTTCGAAAATTCCTAAACATTCATTCACCAACTTGACACAAATATATATGACTATTTGTTGTGTCAGCTTATATATAAATATAAGGATTACATACAGTCATGAACACACCAACGCACAGACACACACTCACTCGAAAGTAACGAGAATTAAAAGTAACACACGTGTCATACCTCCGATCGTCCTCCCCTGCCACACATATTAAAAAAAATACTGGTGTAATAAATACTTGAGTCTGTCATTACTGTTTTGCTTCATTCATTCATTCGTTCGTTCGCTCGTTTTATTGATTTAGTAAATCCAAAAGGAAATGTTACGAAAAAAACATCAGTCAACTGTGCTTCACTCACGCTCTCTCCTCGCCTCACTTTACCCACGAGTGATTCTAACGACCAATAATCCTCAGAGGCTTTACAAATTATCACATTGCCAATGGAGCAAAAAAAATATTTATTGTATACTCACATAAATATAAATAAATCCAACAATTTTCAATCAAAAGCTTAAAGAATCGCGAGTCAGGACATGCACTGTAGTTTAAACAAAATTATACATGGCCAAAAATTATATTTTATGCACTAAAGGCCATCAGAGATGAGCAGAATAACAGAGGCCCTTCAGACGATACATGTTTTAAATAAAATTTTATTCTAGAACTTTCAAGGTGTATCTGATTTTTTAAGGACCTTCAAGGCATAGATTTTTAAAAGAATATTTTTCAAGAACCTTCAAGGCGTAGATTTTTAAAGGAGTATTTCTTCATGGACCTTCAAGGCGTAGATTTTTAAAGGAGTATTTCTTCATGGACCTTCAAGGCGTAGATTTTTAAAGGAGTATTTCTTCATGGACCTTCAAGGCGTAGATTTTTTAAGAAATAATTTGTCAAGAACCTTTAAGGCGTAGATTTTTAAAGCAGTATTTCTTCAAGGACCTTAAAGGCGTAGATTTTTAAAGCAGTATTTCTTCAAGGACCTTAAAGGCGTAGATTTTTAAAGGAGCATTTCTTCAAGGACCTTCAAGGCGTAGATTTTTAAAAGAGTATTTCTTCAAGGACCTTAAAGACGTAGATTTTTAAAGGAGTATTTCTTCAAGGACCTTCAAGGCGTAGATTTTTAAAGGAATATTTCTTCAAGGACCTTCAAGGCATAGATTTTTTTAAGAAATACTTTTTTTAAGGACCTTCAAAACGTATATTTTTTAAGGAATAATTTTTCAAGGACCTTCAAACCGTATATTTTGTCACAGAATATTTTTTTCTAGGTCCTTCAAGGAGTTGATTGTCACAGAATATTTATTCAAGGACCTTCAAGGCGTAGATTGTCACAGAATATTTCTTTCTAGGACCTTCAAGGAGTTGATTGCCACAGAATATTTATTGAAGGACCTTCTTGAAAAAATATTCTTTAAAAAATCCATGCCTAGTGTTTGGTCCTTGAAAAATTGATATTTAAGAAATCCATGCCTTGTGTTTGGTCCTTGAAAAATTGATATTTAAAAAATCCATGCCTTGTATTTGGTCCTTGAAAAAATATCCATGCCTTCTTTAAAAAACCCACGCCTTAAGGATGGTCCCTGAAAAAATATTCTTTAAAAAATCCATGCCTTGTGTTTGGTCCTTGAAAAAATATTCTTTAAAAAATCAATGCTTCGTGTTTTGTCCTTGAAAAATTATTCTTTAAGAAATCTATGCCTTGTGTTTGGTCCTTGAAAAAATATTCTTTAAAAAATCCACGCCTTATGGATGGTTCCTGAAAAAATATTCTTTAAAAAATCCAAGCCTTATGGATGGTTCCTGAAAAAATATTCTGTAAAAAATCCACGCCTGAAAAAATATTCTTTAAAAAATCCACGCCTTATGGATGGTCCGTGAAAAAATATTCTTTAAAAAATCCACGCCTTATGGATGGTCCTTGAAAAAAAATATTCTTTAAAAAATCCACGCCTTATGGATGGTCCTTGAAAAATAATATTCTTTAAAAAATCCACGCCTTATGGATGGTCCCTGAAAAAATATTCTTTAAAAAATCCACGCCTTATGGATGGTCCTTGAAAAAAAAAAATATTCTTTAAAAAATCCACGCCTTATGGATGGTCCTTGAAAAAAAATCTTTAATAAATCCACGCCTTATGGATGGTCCCTGAAAAAATATTCTTTAAAAAATCCACGCCTTATGGATGCTCCCTGAAAAAATATGCTTTAAAAAATCCACGCCTTATGGATGGTCGCTGAAAAAATATTCTTTAAAAAATCCATGCCTTGTGTTTGGTCCTTGAAAAAATATTCTTTAAAAAATCCACGCCTTATGGATGGTCCTTGAAAAAATATTCTTTAAAAAATCCACGCCTTAGGGATGGTCCGTGAAAAAATATTCTTTAAAAAATCCACGCCTTATGGATGGTCCGTGAAAAAATATTCTTTAAAAAATCCACGCCTTATGGATGGTCCGTGAAAAATATTCTTTAAAAAATCCACGCCTTATGGATGGTCCGTGAAAAAAAAAATTCTTTAAAAAATCCACGCCTTATGGATGGTCCCTGAAAAAATATTATTTAAAAAATCCACGCCTTATGGATGGTTCCTGAAAAAATATTCTTTAAAAAATCCACGCCTTGTGTTGGTCATTGAAAAAATATTTTTTAACAATTTTACCCCTTGAAGGATCTGTATAAAATGTTGTTGTGCCTATCTCCTATGGGAGACCAAAAAAAAATCTTCTTATAAAATTTTTATTTTTATACTGAAAAGAAAAATAAATCACAACCAATTCCATAAATTTGTAATTTTACTTCTGCGACAGTAAAGGGAAACAGACACACACCCAAGCCTACAAAGGCGGTCGTAACACGCGCCCGAAACAAGGACAATAAACGAACAGCAAACAATAAATTTCATATTAAATTTTTGTATTTGCTGTTCCTCTGTGATGTTATGTAAAGTGTAAATAAAAAATCGGAGAGACGGCCAGTTAGCTTTTTTGGTTTTTGTTGTTGTCGTATAATATTTTTGTTGCCAGTATATCAGTCACGTTGGGCCCCAAGGCTGTTTGAAAAAAGGATGTATGCCAAACAAGCCAACGGCAATGGCAAATGGTTGGTTGGTTGTTTCATTGATATTTGCTACTCTAGAAGAATTTCCTGTCGGAAAAAGGCAACAACAGCAGCAACCCAATTTATTGCAGTTTTCACAAAAATGTTCAACGTCACTGAAAAAAATCTGCATAGCTATAACAGTAAATCGTCAGTGAATTGATTTCGATTTCAGTTTTTTTTTTTTTTTGGCTAAAAAACCCTATTTTCCACCATATAGTCCCCGTTAATATTTGAGTTTGTTATCGAAAAGTGGTAGCAATGATGTTATGCCTCAAGGAGAGCCATTGCTACATTAAATAATGCCAAAAAGGTGCAAAAGCCTCCAACCAAAAATTACCCTTAAACGGAAGCTATTCTCAAAAATATATAACAAAAAAATTTTGATGGTTCCAACTTACCTGCAGGTAAACGTGTGACATTGCCACCGGATTCCCACCTACCAAACCCATGGTACGGAAAAATATTAGAATCGATCGCATGGAAAATGGCAATGCGAAACATAAACGACGCTGCCAAGGTGAACTGGCTGTCAGGGCCTGGAAAAAAAGAGATAAAACAGAAACAAATAAGTCAGTCATGTGAAAATATGGAAAGAAAAGTTTAGCTAGAAAATAAAATCACATGAGAATGAGAAATTGGCAACATATTTCACAAAAAGAGCTTTTTAGTTTTATTCACACACACAAAGTTTGTTTGGAAAACTAAATGAATGGAAACTCAGTATGGCGTAGGAAATACAACCAGGTTCATAGTTGACACAATTCGAAGGTTGGGGAGGAAATGGAAATAGTTTAGGAGGGGTGGCGTGCATTTTTTAAAGAATATTTTTTCAACGGGTCATCATCAATAGGCGTGGATTTTTTAAAGAATATTTTTTCAACGGGTCATCATCAATAGGCGTGGATTTTTTAAAGAATATTTTTTCAACGGGTCATCATCAATAGGCGTGGATTTTTTAAAGAATATTTTTTCAACGGGTCATCATCAATAGGCGTGGATTTTTTAAAGAATATTTTTTCAACGGGTCATCATCAATAGGCGTGGATTTTTTAAAGAATATTTTTTCAACGGGTCATCATCAATAGGCGTGGATTTTTTAAAGAATATTTTTTCAACGGGTCATCATCAATAGGCGTGGATTTTTTAAAGAATATTTTTTCAACGGGTCATCATCAATAGGCGTGGATTTTTTAAAGAATATTTTTTCAACGGGTCATCATCAATAGGCGTGGATTTTTTAAAGAATATTTTTTCAACGGGTCATCATCAATAGGCGTGGATTTTTTAAAGAATATTTTTTCAACGGGTCATCATCAATAGGCGTGGATTTTTTAAAGAATATTTTTTCAACGGGTCATCATCAATAGGCGTGGATTTTTTAAAGAATATTTTTTCAACGGGTCATCATCAATA